TCCTCTTTCAAGCTGAGACAACAAAACACAGTCGAGGAAAAAACAAACATAACAATAAAAGTCCATCTCTTGATAGAAACAACGATTCTCCTAGGAATCTTCAACTGAGTCGAAACTTGGATGTGAGTCCATCCTGGGACCTTTACACTGAAACGAGATAAACAGAATCGAAAATCGTGATTAGACAATGAAAAGTATGTAAAAAAGCATGCAGCCACCCAGAGCAAATTATAGTGAACACCACCAAGTGAACAGATCCCGGCCCAGGCAAAAAAGGAAACATATCGAAAGCAATAACCACAATGAACACTGAACATCAACATAATGCTTTATTAATTTAAAACATGCCAGATAATACAACACACAAGGTTCGGGAAAACAAAGGGTGGGAAATATTCACCTCCTGTCATTAATAAAATTAAGATTATAGGTACACTAAAGCTAGCATAATCTACAATTTTATAACATGACAGGAGGCTTCATATTTGCAGTTTCAACGCTCAGCCAGTAGGGCAAAGGCTGCATGTTCTGTAGGCCTGAAATAAAACTGTCGAAATGTGTCTTCTCAAGACCAGTCTGCTGAACGTAAAATATCGGCCAGGGAAGCACCTGCTACCAGGGCTCCTGACGCCGCCACGCCCCTTACCAAATGAGCGCCAAAAGAGGAGTCCACGCCGGCCAACGACAAGAGCCATCTGATCCAATGAGCCAGGGTAATGGTAGACACCGGTTTATGCGGTCGTACATAAGATATCAACATTTGTCTTGATAGGGAGAGACAGAGCAGAAACCACACAGAGCTTAGGAGCCTCTCGAAAAAATGGGTAGAAAATGGCAGAGGAGTCGGATTTTGTACGTCTCGACACCGCAAAGGTCACCCCATCTGGAGAAAAGGTGAATGCGTTAATATCAAAAGCCCGGACGTCAGAGACCCGAAGGAACGATACCGGGCATAAGAGAAGTGTGAACTTGGCTGAAAACTGTCTTAGAGAAAGGTCCTGATTCTCCGGCCATGCCTGAATGAAATCCAAAACTCGGTGCACATCCCAGAGTGATGTATACTTAGGAGCCGGTGGACGTGACAGTTTGATTCCTCGCAACAGTCTACAAACCAATGGATCTTGACCAATGGGCGTCCCCTGAAGAGGAACATGAGCTGCTGAAATGGCCGATCTGGCAACATTAACCGAGCGATATGACCTCCCTTGGTCGAAGAGGTAGGAAAGGAAATTCAGTACACTGGATACAGGTGCTGTAAAGGGATCAATACTCCATTCCATGCACCAACGACACCATATGTTCCATGCAGACAGATAACATAGTTCCCGGGGCCCATGAGTCCCAGAGGAGGCTTCTAGCCGTTCCCAATAGCTCATCGACATTCCAGGTACCCCGGAAAGAGTCCAAGCCACCAAGTGAAGATGGCCCTCCAGCACGAGGGGGTGATGGTTGCCCTGAGAATCCGACAGGGGAAATTGCGGAGACGGGAGAAGGAGCGGGTCTCGATATGACAGCTCTAGCAGTTCTGGGAAGCAAGCCTGGCCTTGTCAAAGAGGTGTCAGTAACACCAACGATGTCTGTTGACGTCGTACTTGGAGAAGGATCCTGGAGATCATAGTGAACGGTGGAAATGCATAGGCTCCCTGTGATGGTCAGACCTGAAGAAAAGCATCCACTGCTGCGTACATTGGATCCGGGAGCCAGCTGAAGTAATTCGAGATCTGGAAGTTCGTCCTGGAAGCAAACAGATCCACCGTAAATGGGCCCCTCCGTCGCGCCACTTCGAGAAATACTGGTCGATGGAGACGCCAGTCGCTGGCATCCCTCCAGTGCCTGGAAAACAAGTCTGCCATCAGGTTCGACACACCTGGGAGATATTCTGCCTGTAGAGTGATATTGCGCTGAAGGAAGAAATTGTAAATCTCCTTCGTCACTTCCGTCAGTGCCCGTGAGCATGCTCCTCCCAGGCGGTTGATATACTGCACTACTGACACGTTGTCCATTCTCAGCAGGATGCAGCAATCCGACAGATGACCCACCAGGCTCCGTATCGCGAATGAGCCCGCAATCATTTCCAGACAGTTGATATGGTACCCTGTTTCCGAGCTCGACCAGGGACCTCCCGTGGAGGCAGTCGCGCAGGTCGCTCCCCAGCCCCATAGGCTTGCATCCGATTCCAGGACAAAGTCCGGGGTCGGACCAAAAATCGCCTTGCCGTTCCAGGCTGACATATGTAACAGCCACCAACGAAGTTCGGTCTTGACTTCCTGTGTGAAGGTGATCAGTTGGTCATATGAGGGCTTCCTGCGGAGGAAACGTGCCTTCAGGCGTTGCATGGCCCTGTAGTGAAGGGGACTTGGGTAAATGGCTTGGATCGAAGCGGACAATAGGGCTACCCCCAGTGCCAGGACCCTGAGTGGGATTGTCTCCTGACGGAGAATCCGTCGGATCTCTTTCCGAATTGCCAAGATTTTTGCTTGAGGGAGACGTAGGATGCACTGAGTCGCATCTATGCTCTGATTTGGGCATAATGGATTTGTGTTGTGCTGCTGCTGGCCCTTTAAGAACCATCTGGGGACATACTGTGGAGTTACTGGGTGGCCACCATTTCCTGTATCAGAAGCACATGGTGAGAACAATGGATGGCGGCCATTTTAACTCACAGACACTGTTTGGACTTTTCAACACGGTGCCATCTCGCCAGTATTTGGTGCACAGAGACATCGTGCAGTGGTTTTGGACTATACAGCAGGGGACACATTATACAGTGATTGTTTTTCATTTAGCCTGTATATGTTCTGCAGAATCTGCATTAAACTGTATTTTCCAAAGTACTGAACGGATCTGGGTGAATTTTGGATATGTGGTTCAACCAGATCCCCCGGTTCCAAGGATATACTTTTTATGGGGTTATTGCATGTTTTGGGGTCCCTGTGTGTTTTATGAAACTGTATTATTTCTGGCCAGCAGATAATTGAGCTTTGTGTATTGTAGAAACTCAATTATCTAGCCTGGCCCAGAGGAAGAGTTTTGTGTTGCATAAATTGTGAGTTCTGTGTGCCAGTAAATCAGTCTTGTTCCAGCATTAAGCCTTGGCTCATGTTTGGGGGATTGGAGAAATACACTCTGGGGATTGCTATAATCACTATACTCCCCAGGGTATGATCACTAAGTTCTGCTAAGAGCTTGTTCCTGCTCTCTGGGGAAAGAGAGGTTCACCCACTGGAAGCTGGATCCTGGCCTTGGGTCCAGGGTGGGTGGAGACAGCAGAGACCCTGGCGCAGTTGCATCGCTGGAAGTGGGGTCTGCAGTGCTGATGGTGTCGGTTGGAGTGCTTGGAGTCCTCGGCAAGCGCTAGGAGCATCGATTGGCGGAGGTACTCAGTCGGAGTGCCAGCGTTCCGTCACACCGAGCTGAGGCCGAAGGGTAGGCATGTGAATTGGCATGGCCTCCCTTTCCAGATGAAACGTAAGAATCGTCGGCAATCGGGTTCCACCGGTACGGAGAGGTATGCATCCTTCAGGTCTAGACGAGTGAACCAATCTCCTGGGTGAAGTAAGTCTCTTAGAAGATGGATGCCCTCCATCTTTAAGTGTTGGTAGGAAACAAAGGCGTTTAGGTTCCTCAGATTTATGACCGGGCGGAAATCTCCCGTCTTTTTCCTGACTAGGAAAATCGAGCTGAAGAAGCCTCTGTCGTCCGGCACCCACTGAACTGCCCCCCTGTCGAACAGGGCCTGTGTTTCGGCGTCTATCAGGACTTGCAGTGCCATTGACGATACTGGAGCCGAGGGGACCACCTCCTGGATTGGGGGTGAATGGAAGTCTATAACGTAACCTCGGACCGTTTGGAGTATCCAAGCATCCGAAGAGATGTCACGCCACCTGTCGAGACAAAAACGTAACCTGCCGGCATGTAACAGACTGGGGGAAACATGAGGTGTAACTTGGCTCACCTGCGGGCATTCTGCCTCTACCGCGTGTCCGGTTCCCTCTGCCACGGTACGACCTCTGGGAGTTGAAGGATCCAGAGTGGTAGCTGGGGAAGAAAGAAGGTGGTCGGGATCCTTGGTGGCTCGATGGCCAGAAACGGCTGGAGGCACGACCCCGCTGCCTTCCAGCCCTGCCAAAAACACGAGAGGTGTTAGTGCGGAACACCCTCCTCATCGAAGATTGGGCTTTTTTCAGTGTGGCATAGAGGTTGACGTGCCTCTGGAGCTCCTTGATGAAGGTTCTCCAAAAAGTAGCCCTTTGGCTAACGGTCCCAGTTCCTTGGAACCCAACTCCGATAATTTGGCGTCTATGCGCATGAGGACCGCCTTCCTCCGCTCCGTGCACAAAGCTACGTTAGAGTTGCCCAGCAGGCAAACGGAGCGTAATTCCCAATCTCTTACGGCTGCAGCGTCAAGGGGGGAGCCCTGGGAAATAGCCTCATCCGCCATGGTAAGGATCCGTGTCAGCGGCCCCAAGATGTCAAGCACCTTATCTTGTGCCAGGCGGAGATTGTGTTCGATCCCCTTCTTGGGATCGCGCCCAGTATGGGTCAAATAGGTGGAGACCATCATGTCGAACTCGGGCGTCATAGCGACCTTGTCTAGGGCACTCAGCCCTGAGCCTCTTCCGCACTGCCCAATCGACGGGTCTGCGAACCCTAAAATGGATGAACTGGGCCAGGTGTTCGGGTAGGGACCACTCAGGAGACCTGGGGTGCAGGATGGTGTGCGGGTCAATAAAGGTTCTCCTGATGAGTCCAGGAAGAAGTCCTCCCCAAGGGAGCAGTGTAGTTGTAGCGAGGTATCTTCATCAGCGTCCTGCCGGTACGCCGATTCCTCCGGATCTTCCTCGCCCCAACCCCCTTCGTCCTCTGAGGTGGATTGATCTGCCCACCATTCATCCAGTACGGACAGGGGTGCGGGCAGGGTGAACTCTTCCTCCTCTTCGGGGAGGTATCGTGGGTGCGTTGGAGGTGAAGCGGTCGCTCGCTTACGCCTCTTTGCAAGAGCCTTACCCTTCCGTGAACTCGGCTCAGGGCCTTCACCCTTCCAGTAGCGCTTGGGGGGCGTGCCTGTTCTCTGCCCGGAGAGTCGGGATCAGATTCTATCAGCGCGCACTGAGTCTCCGATACATCCCTATCTTGGGACGGCCTAGGCAGTGCGTGCGAAAGCGCTTTCTCCACTGAAGCGGCAAAGGCCGCGTTAATCGTAGCCTGTAGGCTCTCTTGGGTAGGAGCGTCCATCCTGACCTTAGTGTGACCCTGGGGATAGAAATGATACGTGTCACCCGGTTATACGGGAGTAATGTATACGGACACAAGTGTTATAGATGACCCCAGTATAAAACTCCCATATAATATTCTAGGCCAGCGGCCGTAAGGGGTCCGGCATAGAAAAACACTGTCAGAGTAGGCCAGATGGAGGACACAGGCAGCATAGGCCAAATATATATGGGCACAGGTGTAGCCAGCCAATCTTATGGGCACAGACAAAGCAGGCCAGTCATAGGGGCACAGACAAGCAGGCCAATCTTATGGGCACAGACAAAGCAGGCCAGTCATAGGGGCACAGACAAAGCAGGCCAATTTTATGGGCACAGACAAAGCAGGCCAGTCATAGGGGCACAGACAAAGCAGGCCAGCCACTCTGAGAGTGTAAGGGTCACTAATAGGAGGTAATCAGATAGGCAAATGGGTTGAAGCAACCAATGCTAAAAGGGTTAATGAAATAACCAGCAAACCAGGCATGCATACAGCGAGAAAAAAAGTCCCCTCCATATATCCAAACCAGCAAGACCAGAAACAGGGGGTCTAAACGGCTGGGGAACCCCCTGGAGGATGACAAATATATGTATAAGAACGGGTGGGGATGGGAGCATGAGAGTAGTGCTCCCTCCTCCACTCGGCGGACACACGCAGTCCGCGAAAGCACAGCCGTGACCGGCGGCCACGTGGAAGAGGCTCTGGTCGGCGGTACTGCGCTTGCAGGCGAGCACCCCGCGACCGGAGGCAGAGAAAATAAGACGGGACCGCTGGAGATGTACTCCGCGGTCCCGAAGGTTTGGGAGGGTCGGGGGAGGCGGGAAACAGCCAGCCCCATGAGGCCCCCGAGTCCAGAGAGAAATCCCCGTAGGGGGAAAGAACGGGGGATAAGAGAGGGGACAGGGAGGAGGGATAAGGCCCCAAGGGAGGGTAGAAAAACTACACTAACCCCTGGCAAAAGGGTTAGACAAGAATCCCTAACAGGCAAAATATATATAATATATAACAACACAGCATATAAAGTAGAAAATCCCAAAACCACCCACTATATAATAGCAGGAGGCAGTGGTACTCTGACCTGTACTGATGCGGAGCAGCAAAGAAAGAGGAAATGGAATGTTGGGAAGGGTGTTATATGGTCTCCTTACTGTTTTCTGATTGGTTGTTTACTCTCTGGTGTTTTGCTGCTGTTTTTAACAATGCAATGTGGGAATAGTCTACATGTATTTTGAACTGTACAGTTATACTCTGCATGGACACCATAAAATTGTTCTTCCATGCTGTGCTTTTATGCATACTTTTTTTTTCTTTTGGAAAACCTTTCCATCCTCACGTCTTTCTAAAACGAATGTTTGGAAACTGAAAACAGAAATATTATTTCAAACACAACGTGCAGAAAAAGAGGAAAATTACATTTATGAAATGAAGAAAACATCAGGACGCGCCGTGTTTATAGATAGTTTAAGTGTTCCTGGCTCACTGCAAGTTATGTCTGAATTTAAAGTTCATTTATCCAAACGGCATCACAAGCACACTGCATATGTGAGAGGTGAAGGACAGTAAAGACAGGAGGGGAGAGGGGGAATGGAGGGATAAAGGCAAGAGGAGGGTGAGCACATAAATAGTATGAAGGAATGACAAATTCACATTCTGAAAGGACAAAAATAGAAAACATAAGTGTTGATATAAGTAAAAAATGCAAATGGAAATGAATGGGGGCATTAAAAATATTACTAAGGCAGCAAAGAGCTGCCTGATGCTCTCTAACATAGTCGCTTTCTAAATTTTCACTACCTGTGAAAATTGCAGATTTGACACTGCACATGTACAGAAATCAGGCCATTAGCCTGAATAGCCTGCTAGTCAACCAGCTGACCAGATTATACGTTCACGGCTGTACTAAATGAATCACTAAATAAATCACTAAGCAGTGATGGGGTAATTTTTAAACAATTTCAGCTCCTGTTAATATTTTCATATATTTCATATGATTGTTTAGGTCATTGGTTCCCAATCTAGTCATCGAGTAACACTAAATGTCCAGATTTTACCAGTGTCTACAAAAGAACAGAATTGTGAAATGTCTAAATCCTGGATTGTTGGTTTACCATGAGGACTCAGGTGGGAACAACTAGTTTAGGTGACGAAAACAAATAGCAAGTAGTATGGTTGTGTTTAAACAGCCGGCCAAGATGAAACAATTCATTTATATATGCATTTGTGTTTCTATGTTTATATACTGATGACACAAGGCATCAGGAAGAGCGAGGACAGAATGTGTCCCTAGTAAATGCCTGGAATATTTCACACCAGGTTCTATTCAATTGTGTCTGTCACAATGGAAAGGATGGTGTCATCCTGAAGGCATCAGAAACATTTACATCTAATTAATTGGTGGTCAGAGAAAACATTCTGACTATTCTCATATGACTCAGTTATCCTTACACAAGGATAAGCTAGACTGTACCCTACAGCTGTTCTTGGACTGCAACTCTCTAAAGCAGGGGTGGTGAACCTTCAGCCATCCAGATGTTTTGGACTACATCTCCCGTAATGCTTTGCCAGCATTATGGCTGTAAGAGCATTATGGGAAATGTAATGCAGATCATCTGGAGGGCCAAAGGTTCCCCACCCCTCCTCTAAAGTCTCATTTGGTTTTGCTTTTTATTTTCATCCCTTTTTCACAAAGAGAAAATGTCTATCTTACATTCTCCAGTTATTTTGCTCTGCAATAACCAACCAGTCCAGAGATTTATATGATGAACATCGGGAAAGTAAGAGGATGTTGAAACTGTCATTACACAGTTGTTGTTTTGAACTACAACTCCCATTATCAAGGCATTTCATATACAGTTAATATAGAAAATGTAGTTAAAACAATTACACACACAAACCCCTTCCCCCCTGGTACTACAGACAGCATCCATACAATTCATTGACCTTCTCCAAATATAAAAAAATTGGACAACAACCGTCCAGAAATCACTGAGTTGCAACTCCCATAATTTTTAGGCATCCTAAATCCTCATGGTTGTTCTTGTTCTAAGAGCTGCAAATTTACGAGCCTTGATATAGAATCTGACGTTTATGAAAATTAAAAGTGTAACGGACCGTTTTGCACACAAGGGGTAAAAACCGTTTAGGCGATCGTCCCCTTTTCAGAGATGCAGGCACAGCTACTGTAGAACACCAAACTCATGAACCGCCAATAAGGGAATGCTCCAAACTCCCAAACGGCATACAATATAGCACTCCAAACACACAAACTGGAACCAGACGAATCGCTACTAGCAGACGAATAGGAAAAGCATCCAAGCGGCTTACACTCCTAGCAATCAGTCTCTATCAGCGTTCAGTAAATCCCCCCAAAGACGAGACAAGGCTCCGTGTTAACGGTCAAGCAGTGGTCTGTTTAATGAGGGCTACCTGCCCAGTATTTATGCAGGTCTCCCACCTCGTGGACACTCCCCTAGGGGACCAAATGGGAGACTGTGACAAAAGACAGACAAGTTGACAAATAGGACACACAGTCACCTTATATTCTCACACTGCATCCTGGCTTCCTCCCTTCTGCCTTGGAGATAATTGAGAAGTAATTCAATTATCTCCCAAGACAAAGGCAAATCGCCATTATGCACGTGGGGATACTACAACACGAATTACTATTAAAATACACTATGTAAGACACATTACAATAAACGTATACATTTAACATGTCCCCAGATAGCTCAGGTCTGAGCGCACATTATTAAGCGAATGGCGCTCAGACTAAACGAATACAGTTCAATCGCCATGGAGCCAAAGTCTTTACACAGTCAGTTCTCATGCGAATGGGCTCCATGGGATTCCTATCTGGGGTATAACATAGACAAGTAAAACTACCGAACACCGGCCGTTCGTGTACTTCCACCGAACAAGAAGGGAGGTTGGCGGCTTCAGCGGTGTTCGCGCAAAACTGTGTCCGATTTTAGTTCCATGAATTAAGCGTCAAACACCGCTGTGCGTTCACATGTTTAAAATGGCCGCGACCTCGTGTTCGTTATACGAATGGCGGCCACCCAGCATTCGCCAATTAAGCTGCGGTTAACCACAGCCTCAGGGAGGTTAATTGCCGGCACACTCCAGCTCCCAGATGGTCTATTCATTAGTGCGGTTGTTCGGTAGATTGAATCTACCAAACACCCGGCAGAAAAGCACGAATAAGTCTTTTCTGCAGGGAAAAAAGATGTCTTTTAACATGGGGCCATAGTCCAAAGGCAGCAGGCGGGCAACCAGGCTTCTCCAATGCAATGTGGCGAGATTGCTCTCGTCACAAAAAGAATCTGCAGGTTTTTAAATTTTTTTAAATAAACAAACAAAACGTAAAAAAAAAAAAAACATGAACCTTTGGAAAATAAATAGATTATGAATGTCGTCAGTGAGGCAGCCAAGCATCTTCAAAAATCTGAGTGCTACCTAACACTGAGAGTGCCTTACCTTGAGATCCTGTGCCAACACATGACAGGTCTTGGGGCTGGGAGACATCAATACTGAAGAGGAATGAGCCTTATACAATGACTGTACTGTGGTTCCTGTAACACACACAGAGCACACGCTGACATGTGTCCGGGTCTGATATCTCCAATAATTCTCAGAACTTCCTGCCTCCAGGGTTTGACATGAAGCTGAAATAATATGTAATAAGACCCCAATGTTTATCAGACTCTTGGCCCTAGAGCTGTGGGGTCTTCTACCACAAGAGGTTTCATACACGTTAACAGGAAGGATCCCACAGAGGGAGTTATAAATTCCTAGTCGGAAACGAGAGAGGACCTGTTCAGGAGATCATTATTTTCAGAGAAGGAGTGGAGTGGCGAGAAAACTAGTTAAAAGAAAGACATATAGTACTGAAAAGAGAGTCATATGCAAGGAAATTTATATTACAGTGTCAGGACTGTTTCGCTGGCAAGTCTAGAAAAACTGACTACTGATGGTTATCTATGAG